GTCTCTAAGGCGGGACCCGCTGGCTCTCACAGAGGGGAAACTGAGGCGGGTCGAAGGGTAAAATGGGCCGCGATGTAGCTGGGGAAAGGAAGCGAAGGCCCTGCGTGCCGGGCCCTGTCCTGCCCGCATAGACGGCCTACAGCCCCACGAAACGGTTGTTTCTCCACGCACCTACCCATCCATGTCTTCTCGCAGAGTCCTGTCTGTTCAGCCAGCCTCCAGCCTTTCTGCCCACCCTCCCTCCCTTCTTCCTCTCTTTTATCTATTCATTATCCCACCTATTCTTCCATCCTATCTCTTTGTTATTCTCCAGTGTTCCACCAATTTTAAACTATTTTTTGTCCATTCATCTATTCACCTGTAATTCTGTCTTTCCACCTATCCATCGAATTCATTCCAAACATCTTTTTTTCCTCCCTGCCACCCATCTATCATCTCTTCCTTTCTTGTGTCCTTTCGCCCATTTCCAGGTTATCCAGTCTCCGCTGCCATCATTCCACCTGTAATAGGTGATTCCTCAGTGCTGTCCCTTCCCTTGCACTGGGGACCCAGATGGATCACATCATCCCTGGAAAACTCATTTGCAAGTGGCAGTGGCAGAGGGGCAGACATGTGCCCAACAGCAGGCACAGCTGCTGTAACAGACCTCCGGGGGGCTGTGCTCCCAGAGCTGACTCAGAGCGCTGAGGTTTGGTTAGTTTGGTCTGAAGAGGGCTACCGGAAAGGCTTCACGCATGTGAACATCCTCCTTGGGCATAGGTGGGCGTGGGGGAGAGAAAAGCAAAACCTTCGCCAGCACACGCTACATGCCAGGTGGCAAGTTACCTTGCTTAATCCTTGTCAGTCGCATCGTTTGCAGATATTTTCTCCCATTCCACGTGTTGTGTATGTGCTCTTTTGTGTCTGGTTTCTTTCGCCCAACATTGTTCATAAGATTGATGCATCTTGTTGAATACAGCTGTAGTTTGTTCTTTTAAAATTGATGTGTAGTATTCCACTCCACAAATATATCACAATTTAATTGTCCATTCTACCATTGATGGGCATTTTTAAGTAGTTTCCATTTTCTGACTCTTATGAACAAAGCTGCTACGAGCATTCTTGTATATGTCTTTTGTCAAACATGGGTACCCATTTCCCTTGGAGTGGAATTGCTGGCAGAGAATAGGCATGTGTTTTACTTTAGTAAAAACTGCCAATTTTCCAAAGTGGTTGGACCAGTTTACACCCCCACTGCAGTAGGACAGTTTCAGTTGCTCCCTGTCTTGATGTCATCAGCCTTTATTTCTAGCCATTCTGGTGGATGTGTAGTGGTGTCTCATTGTAGTTTTAATTTGCATTTCACTGATGGGTATGACTGTTGAGCACCTATATATATACACTTATTTGCATATGCTATTGTTTGTTTACACCTGTTTGAGTCTTTTGTCCATTTAAAAAATTAGTATGTTTATCTTTTACTTATTGATTTGGACTTCTTATATCTTAGAAATGAGTCTTTTAATAAAGTTTTCTCTCACCAAAAGTTTACATACACAGAGACACACACATATACCAATGGTCACATCAGTTTAAAAGTAACTTTGATCCTATTAATCAAATAAAAGCAATTTTTCCTATCTTAGAAGTGACCCTAGATGACATGATACATGACATATACATTTCATATGTGCACAGTGGGGCAGCCCAGCAGATCCAGCCCGATTTACACATTCTTGAGCTGAGCATTTGCTCTGGACTAGACTCCAGAGCAGATTTCAGTTCAGTTTGAGCAGTGGTGGGGGAAGAGGGTCGGGGTGGTGAGGCTCATGTCTTTCTTCTTCCTCCAAGATGGGCTGATGGTGACTCTGCATTTCCCACATGGACCAGGGTGGTGGAGGAGCACAGAACAAGAGGACCAGGGCAGAAACAATCCCACCTGGCAGGTTTCCAGAACTGGACTCTCAGAATTAAGCTGCATGCTCACTGTTTACTACGTGTCTGCCACATGGCAGGTTCTGGAGACCCAGAGATGGTTAGGACACCAACCTCATCTTGAGGGAGCTCATTGTCAAGAAGAGCTGGACAAGGGAGCAAGGAAGCATGCTGTGGAGTGCTAGGGGTAGCGTCACCTCTCTAAGGAGGGATGTGTGGTTAGGATGCCATGGGAGGAAAGCCGGAGGCACTCAGCTCTTGATGGGTCCCAGGGACATCGTCACAGTGGAGCTGATGCCATTTGTGCTGTGCCTTGATGGATGAGAAGGAGTCACCAGGCAGAGGGTGGCAGAAGGATGTTCTAAGCAGGGGACTTGGTACAGGACTTCCCAGCCAGTGACAGACTTGTGACTGGAGTGTAGCGTGTGTTGGAGACAGGGTAGGAATGTTAGGGTGGACCCAGGGATGGAGAGCCTTTTCTCCCTCAGCTTCCGGGGAGCCCTGGTGCCTGGGATCATGTTGATCTGCGGACTTTCTAAGGCACCTTGTCCTCACCACGTGCTCAGTAAGTGGTTCTCTGTAGTCTGGCCTTTCTACTTAGAGGAATCATTCTGTCTCATCCCTCCCTGTAGTTACTACTGTCCACGAAACAGGGCAAGCTGCCTGGCCCTGGACCAGCAGTCACACGTCAGGAGTCCATCCTCCCCCCTTACCTGAGAACACTTCTCTACAGAGAAGCAACCTTTGGTTCTGTGCTGTTTTTCTTCTGGAGTTGGGCCCTAGTGAACAGAAGGTGACAGGAGATGGTTCCCCGATGCCCAGATTTCTGGGCCTGTCGGGGAGAAGCAGGGCAGGAGCTCTTGGAGCGGGGGTACCATGACTTGGTTGGGTCTAGGTGGGCTGGGGCTACGCGGCAGGTGGGAGGGGCTGCTGGACGGGCGTACCTGAGGGCCTGGGCCTGCCCAAGCAAGCTTCTGGCCTTGGTGATCTCCTGGGCCAATCTCCTTAAATCGTCTCCTTCAAACAGTGGCAACCCAGGGTCCTTGAAAGGGAGAAGTGAATGTGATGTTAGATCCATTAGATGACTTGGCTAGGACCTGACAATCCAAAATCTCAGGAGAATTTTAGAGCGAATTCAGTGCAGCCGCCCACCCAGGGCAGACAGTCTTGTGGGCCTCCGTTTGCACTTTCCAGGGACAAGGAGCTCACCAGGCGTCAAGGCAGTCAATCTGCAAACGGGACACATTGCAATGAGATGTCTGAGAGTGAATGTAGGAAGGGGGCGGTGGAAACCAGGAGGGTCCCTGGACTCCACTGCAGTCAGCATCACTCTGTCAAGCAGAACAGAAGTGGTACATGCTCCTTATCTCGCTGTTAGTAAAAGCTATCCAGCCCCTTCTTTATTTCTTCTAGTGAAACAGCTTCACAGACATGCCTTTTTCCTTATGTCAGCTAATGAAACTCCGGAGCCTAGCCGTTTTTTTTTTTTTTCTTTCCCAGAGCCAAGCCTTAAAAGGATGTGTTTTCACAATTAGCAAGAAGAAAGAGAAGAAGCCGCTCCTTCTCCCTGGGAGGAGTAGTGGCAGAGATCCTGCTCAGCACCCAGAAACCATTAAAGAACCTGATATGATAAAGTTTTAAACTGAGAACCTTCATGATACGGTCAAGTTTGTTTTCCCATGTAATAAGGATATGGGTGAACATTCATTACTTTTACTTGTTCTTTTGAGGTGGGGGCTGGTAATTAGGTGTTTGTTTATTTTTAGT